CCCCAAAACCCCAAAACCCCAAAACCCCAAAACCCCAAAACCCCTGTGATAAAATATAATTGACAATCAGAAAATAATCAATAGAGATGTCTAATCGGACAAATTTATTCATCACTCAAGATCCTTCGAGGTCGACTAAATCCACTTTCTCAAGGAACCAGTCGTTGCCATCATTGAAATTCAAGAAGAGCTCAAATATTCTAGAATACAAGCGTAAACTTCAGGCCCAGCTAGATCGGATCAAGGAAGGAAATGAGGATATTCAAAAGGCAAGTGGGATGACTCAGTTGTGGAAAGGTAAGCTCCCACTTATCCTTAGAGATGAGGAACAAAACCATTGACTCCTGTAATAACCTTACTGATGGTCGCATCATCACGCCTGGTTCCAGAGCAGCCAGCACTGGTAATGTTGAAGACCTTAAGAGCTGTGCCGAAGAACCTGAGGAAGAGAAGCAGCAAAGGCCAACAATTCCTAAAAGAAATCAATCTGTTTTGAAAATGAAGACACCGAAGTTAGCCAGAGATGTAACCTCAAGGCTCATTTTTAGGTTCTTGGCAATTTGATTCGAAGAAAAATGATGAGTCAAAAGTATACGAAGGATGGGTTAGATTTAAGCAAGATGAATGCCTTCAAAGTTATACAACTTAGAAAAGTATGAGTCCTTAATAACCCTTGTAGCAACATATTAAAGATACTAATCCTTCTGTCTTAAATGAGGATGAATATTTCGAGGACGGTATTACTACTTCTCATCCTCTAGACGGAGAAGTGACTCTTTTTAAGAGTAATTCAAAATTTGCACCTTCCAAGTCTACAAAATTAAAAAACAAACTAATGTAAATTCTTATGAAAATATAGAAGTTCTACAAAAACCTTGCAACGGTACAATTCTATCAAGAAAGTGGCTTCACAGAACTACATGAAAGCTAGGAGAGAAGTGTCCGAACAAAGCACTCAAATGAAGAAAGTCCATTCTCAAAACGACACCAAAGAAGTCCAACTGGGGATGCAAAGGAATCGTTCTCAGCCTACAATCCTTCATCACGAATCTGTCCTTAGAGATTGTATCCAAGATGTCAAGTTAAAATAAGGATAAATTTTTCAGAGACATGAAGAAATTACGAAAGCAGTTTAAGATTATTCCGAAGAATAACAAGGGCCAGCTTAACTTCTTCCAGATGTCAACTGACCAAATAAACAGCTATTTCGACACAAAGATCCAGAAGATGAATTCTTTGAAGCATAGCTATTCTGATAGGTTCTTTGGCGAGATTTTGAAGACCAAAATGCAGATATTGTCCAAGTATAGGTTCGATGTAAGAGATAATATATAATTCAATCCTTACAAATCCTTAGGGGTTTTGGGGTTTTGGGGTTTTGGGGTTTTGGGGTTTTGGGG